AAATATAGAACAAAATTTCGATCTAGCAAAGATTCAAAGAACCTAATAAAGATTTGACAATATAATCACTAAACGGAAATAGAAAATTTGTACCACGTGTTCGTTGAATTTTGGCTGGTTTCGAACAAGAGATGTTGACGGGTTGACCTGTTTTCATACAACTCGCCGACCCGTAACCCACGGGCGGGTCGAGTTATATTTTTCCATATACCTGCGGGTTCAATCCGTTTATAAATTCTGTATTTCATTCTGTCCCTGTACCTAGGTTCATGTTCACTATTCACATAATTTCTTCGCTCTTCCATTGTTCTATTTGTTCTTACTATTTCTTTTGTTCTCTAGCATCCAGATTCATTCTATAATTTTTTTCCTTACATAGTAGTTCTAGCCATTTATCTGGGTATTTTAAAGCAGGTACACATGACAGATGATACAAAAGATCTCTATGGATTTGGCCTTATCTAGTACCATGATTGAGCGCTTTAGAGATTTTATTTTTGTCTTTAGAAAGAAAAATGTCTAGTGTAAAATCGATGAAAGAGTTCGATTGAGTTTTTTTTCCAAAAACCAGAAATATTTTGAAACAAAACGCTTGAGAAAGCGTCCACAATTGTTTTGAACGTACAAGAGATTTTATCGAATTTATTAAACCGGTTGTATATTTAATCGTTGAATGTAAGTTGTACAGGTTGGATACATATCATCGTTACTGTACAAAAGAAAAAAAATCTCTATATGTTTATAACGGTCAAAATAAACGTTTTTTTTTTTACAATATTCTCAAGTATCAGTGGTTTTCATCTCTGTCAATTACAGTGGGAAAGCTGAAGTCTATTGAGAAAGAGATTGTCAGAAGCTATAGATTCTGTACGATCAAGGAAGACTATAGAGGCCTCTGGTGAACGATCTTATTTAGAGCACTATAGAAGTTTTCTACGTGAGACGTTCAGTCAAGCAATTTTTTGATTTTGTTAATTCCAAAGGAATTACATGCTGTTCTAATCGCATCGTTTACTATATATTCTCTTATATGTTCTGTCAATCATTTCAACACTAAACGAAAGTCTTTTTGTAAGGTACAAATGTGCATAAACGATGTTTGAAAAGCCCAAGAATGAATGATAAAAAAAGCTTAAAGAAATATATTTTGGTAAAAATATTATAAAGAAAGTTGCATGAAAATTTTCCAGTCTTGTGTTTTGAAATATTTCTAATATTGAGTAAAAAATTTCAATCAAGTTCTATCATGAATTTTTGCATTATGATGTTTGCCATTTTGAAATACAAAATTAAGTGTACGATATTCTATCACAGCAATCTGTTGAAAACAAAACCATCACAGAACTTTTGGATCATCTGCAATGCATGTACTTTTCTCTTTCGGTTCGATTGTAGAATATAGATGAGAACAAGAGTTACAATTCACAACGCCCTCAACAAGTATCTGCTATATTAATGTTTTCTGCATGATCATGTACTACAAATTTTATGTTACTGCTTCTTCTCTCGAACTTTTTTTGAAACTTATAAATATTAATGCATATGCTCAAAAATCAAAGATAATATTCTAATTATTAAATCTTAATTTCACTAATAAATAAAAACCCGAATACGCCAGTAAAAAACAGAAAAAGACTTTTTTTAAGTAAAAAATAAACTGATCAAGATTGTATTAATCCGCGGGCAGCCTTTGGCAGGTTGATAAATCTGCAACTCGCAACGTAGCTCGTGGGTCAAATCAAACAAATCAGTAACCAATATCTTTGCTCTCTACTATTTGTGTCGCTGAAGCAGGATGACTTCTGAATGAAATATATCTTCATCTTGATGGAGGAACCAATCATTGAATATCCTTCATATAAAAAGGAGAATAATTAGTTCAAGAAACCGAAGTGACTATAGAATTTGATTGATTGTCAAAGGCTCGAATTCAATTTCGATGGGGACCATATTCGATCTGTTAACACGAAGGCCGAACTTCCTTTGAGAACAGGTGAGATAGAATGCCATGAAAAATTCCATGAATAGCAAAGATTGTCATAGAAAGACATCGTTCATCTTTCGACACCAAGCATTCTTTCTTAGATCAGTAGAATTCGAAACTGTTTTTTTTCTTTTTCAGCTCGTTAAGTCATCATCTGCTGCTTCCACAATCACCTCGATATTTAAGATCATGAAGGAGAAAAGATCAATTGTCACATTTGAATCCAAAGACATATAAATTGATTGATTTTTAACCAAAAGCTTTATCAATTGAAAATTGAAAAAGTGGAAAGAATTGTTCTTAGTATGGCTGACAATCAGATCGAGATAACAATAGCATGAGAAAATTGACGAATTTTTCCAGGCAACACATCGATTCGATCTTTTTTGACTACTTTCAAAAGAACAAAGCGTATCCTTAATCAATATCGAAGATAGATTCTCCATTGTTGTCGTTAACAGTAATCAATACTCATCATAGTGCGACCAGTCATCGACATTGGTATTAGTGCTCGATGGAAACAGAACAGTGTGGCGGTAGCTGCATGCCATGATTGAGGCAAAGGATTCAGCCAACTCTAATAATCCTCAAGACATCTACGTAGATGATCAAACTGTCTATATCACTGATCTTTGCAATCATTTTATTGCAGAATGGAAGTGTGGCATAACAAGTGGTCAAATAATTAGTGGTCGGCTGTAATGAAGATGAAAATTGAATGGATCAATTAAATATGCCAATAAACTTGATTGTTGACAAGTAAAAAAAGCAGTCTTATCATCTGAGATTTGGAGAACCGACCAATGATGCAATCGTTTCTCTGATGGAATGCAAATAGATAAATGATTACCTCGAACATAAATTCTTACCGATTGATGATGGATGATCAGGCTTTTCTTTATATCTGTGACTGCGACAAAGATGAAGTTAGATGATATAGATTGGAAGAGACTGATAGAACACTACTGGCAGGATGTAACGGTACAGGTGACCTTCTCAACCAACTCAATGTCCATACAGAGGGTCTTTATGGATCGAAATCACTCAGTGTGGGTGTCAGATAACAAGAATTATCATGTGATAAAGTGGATCAAGCGTGTGGAAAAAAGAACTATTGTGGTTAAAGGCTGTGGCAAAAGAAATAGTCTAATGCAGTTGCCTACTCTTCAAAAAATTGTCGTCGATCTGTTGGACATAATCTATGTGGCAGACAAGAACAATGATCGAGTTATACGCTGGTGTAAAGGGCTAAAGATGGAAGTATCATTGTTGATGGAGACATTTACAGAGAACAAATAAATCGCTTGACTGGTTCGATAGATTTATCGTTCGATAGACATGGCAATTTCTACGTCATTGATTGTGCAAATCACCGAACCCGAAAAACATGGATGTGGGTAATTAAAAAAAATAGAGGAAAAGCACAGCTACATTTACTCACACTCACACTCACATACACATCTACACTTACAGCATGGCTATCTTTTAAAGAAGAGCAGTTCATATTCAATAGTTCAAAGGATTATTCGTTTTTTCGAAAATATCAATTCATCTGTACGATTGTCATTGGAAGTTTCATACCATATTTTGCAGGCAAATGATATTTGAATGTCATCTAGTTATACTTGTTGTAATTGTCTTTGTTAAGAAAAGTTTTCGCGCAATAACTTTCTAATAAAATTCACATTTCAATATCTTCATATATAGATTGCAATTCGAAACAATACAGTAATATTTAGTTATTTTTTTCACAAGTATAGACGTACAGACTAGATTTTATTTACGAACAAAAAAGAAGGTAATGATAAGCCGTGAATAGTGCATAATACAGAAAGACATTATTATGAAAAGAAAAGATTAAATGAATTAATGATAGATTCATTTTCAGCAGAAAACATTTTTTTATAGAAAAAACAAAAGCAGGAAAAAGTAAATTTATTAATTTCATTGTTCATCAGTAAATTATTCTTCTGATAATGATTTTTAGCAAATATTGACATGCCTATGTCTCATTCGAATTTTTCATTCTAAAGATCCTTGATTATTTAGTATATAAAAATACAGTGATGGTTCAATATTTAATATCTTAGCTTGATGTATGCTATTACTTTTACTATGAATTGTAATCATCGACTTTTCTTACTCAATTGAATAAACTCAAACTATGAATATTTGAATTTGCTTGAAATAGTTTCTTAAGATATTCAGATGGTGCTCGAACTGCTAATTTCCAAAATAAAAAAGATATTAGTTACTTGATTTTAGCCTCTATTCATATTCACCTTTCCAACTAATCATGATAATGGTATTTTAGTTCGTTCTCTTCAATGAATGAAATATCTTTGATTTCTTTGCCAAATAATGATGTTTCTATGATCTCCAACAAAACAAAGAAATCATGTTTTCCACTATATGTCATGATTATAACTAAAATCGTACTTGAATTGATACTCTATTCAAATTGACCAATATGCCTCCTTGTTTTTCTAAAAATTCTTCATACCTTCATACTTTGAATATGATAACTATATTCAATTGTGTTTTAGCATGCAGTAAGTCTTAATTATTGATTAGTGTGGACAAAAAAGTTGAACAAGCGTTAAATCAAGACATATATGCGTAATATAAAATTACTTTTTCTTACTGCTTTTTTATTTTCACTTAAATGATTGCAAAACAACCGTTTCTGTACGTCCATAACTACAATATTTGACAAATGAGCCTAAATGTGAATATTTTCTTATCTACTTTCTTTGCTGAACTGAGGAAACATAAACATGAGATGTTAGTGTGGTGGTCTAGTTCGAAGTTTGCTCACCAAGTTCTTTCTATTTATACTTCATAACGGAAAGTTTATTCATTTCCTTTTCCGAAAAAGATATTTAAGTGTATCCATTTACTTTATATTCTTATTGTTTACAAAAAATAAATTCGAGCTGTTCACTTACATGAATACGAAAAAACATGTTTGTCAAAGTTTTAAAACGGCATTAAAAAAATTAAAAAACTTTAAACTTTAAGATATTCCATCGGGTGCACCTCCTTTACGTATATCACAGTTAGCCCAGTATTGATTCACCTCATCACGCCATTCAATACCTTGTATAATAGAGCCACCAAAAGCATCACATGTTATATTATGACCACGATCTTTCAATCGCTTTAGTATATCCTTAAATGAAATATTGCAATTTTCAATAATTTTTTAAACGAAAAACACACACTTACATAATCGAAACCGCTTTCAACAACAACATCTTGTGGTAATAATTGTGAATGAAGACGTCGAGAATCAATTGCTTTTTTAATATCATCATTATACCATAAATTAAGCATAGATACTTGAGCTATAGCTGTTGTTATTTTTGTACCACCACTAGCACCTAGAACTTGTTGTATACGTTGATTACGTTTGTCTATTATAATTAAAGGTGCCATTGATGAAACAGGTCGTTTTCCTGGTGCTATATAATTAGCTGGACTTGCTGGCACACCAAATGAATTTATTGTATTAGGAGTCGAGAAATCATCCATTTCATCATTATAAAATATATCTGTTTCAGGACCAAGAACTTCTGAGCCAAAACTAATCGAGAACAATAATAAAAAATGATCTTGTTTGAAATGAGAAAAAAAACTAAACAAATTTTACTAAAGATTAATAGTTGATGTTAATGCAACAGCATCACCATCAAGTCCAACAACTGATAAATGAGCTGTTCCTGTTTTTATTTTATCTAGCCATGTTCCACCATAATATTCAAAACCAAATGTTTTATCATCACTAAATAAAAAAGGAAAGACATCAACTTAATGTTTGTTTGTTTTTAGATATACTTGATTCGTGATCGTATTTCATTTGCATATTCTTTTGAAGTTAAATTATGTATCAGCTAAAGTATATTTAGATTTCCTATAAAAAGAAAGAAAGATTTTGCTTTTGTTTTCCATACTTCAGTAATATTTATTTTTGATGGATCACCAAGTTCACTTCTTTTTGCATAAGCAAATTTAAATGCTTCAATTAGACGATGATAAAATAAAGAAGATGTTGTTGGTCTTTGTAAATCATTTTCATTTACATTATAACCTGATTTAACACAAAAATAAACAAATTTGACTTGAAAAGAAGTATTTCAATACCTTGAAGAATATTTAAAATAAAAGTAAGAATTGGTCCACTTGTAGGTGCATGTGTTGTATATGCAGTTATTGAACTATTAAGATCAACACTTAGTGCTTCTTGAAAATCAACATCAAAATCAGCCAGATCTTGTTTTGTTATGATTCCACCTCGATCTTGAATTTCTTTAACAACTTTATCAGCTAATTCACCTGTATAAAAAGTATCAGCACCTTGTTCAGCTATTATTTCAAGTGTACGAGCAAGTTTTGGTCTTTTCATAATATCACCAGCACCATATAATTCATTTGTATATGGATTTTTTACATAAAGCTCTCTAAAACAAAACATTTATTTATTGTTTTTATTTTTATTTACTACAAACCTCATTGTCGAGTCATTACGTATGACATCTGCTCTTTGTTTAACAGCTTGAGCTTGTGATTCACTAAGACGAAAACCTTCTCGACATAATCGAATTGTTGGCTGAAAAAGTTCTTTCCATGATACACCTCCACCAAACTCTTCATAAGCTTTTTTGTAAGTTCTTAGTTCACCAGGTACTCCAATAGCTAATCCTCCTTAAATATAAATCTTCTATCTTTAGTTATTTTCTTTGATGAATTCTTACCAGTTACAGACATATTTTCACGACCAATAAACATGGTTGAATTAGCAGCTAATGGTGCTTTTTCTCTCTAAAAAGCATTTATTATAAAATAATTTCTAGATAGTTTATTATCTTGAACTTACTCCAATAATACTATATGCTTTATTTCTTTTTCTATGAATGATATTGAAAGAGAAAACTTTCAGAAAGTATGACATGTTTTTTCTTTTACTTTGAATAAACTGTTATGACACATCCACCTCCAATACCCATGGATTGTGCATTCATAACACCATTACAAATAGCTGCTGCTAAAGCAGCATCCATTGTTGTGCCATTGTTTTCTAAGATAATACGTCCAACTGTTGAACATTCACCATTATCAGCAGCTACAGCTGCTCGAGAATATTTTCCCAAGATCGATGAACCATTTATAGTATATGTTTCATGACCAGCACCACATACTTCTTCTTCAGCATTTCGAGAAGCTATATCAATGAAATAGAAAATAGATTAAATGCATAAAAAAAATCTTTTGTTCGCTACCTGTCAGGATCTTTACGATCACAGATTGGAAAAAAAAAAAAAAAAAATCTTTTGTTCGCTATGCATATTACATAGAATTCTAGTGAAAGCGACATGTTAACATTTCAAGATGCCTAATTGTCAAAGGTAGTTTAGAGTATTGTCTTGAAATTCTTTCCATTTGAAAGTCTCGCATATAGTAGCTTGTATCAACGGTTTCTGACGAGGGAACATTCCCAAGTGATACCTGCCGTTTCTTCTCATATTGTGCCCAAAAAGTAGATCTCGGTAAGACTAGAGAAAGTCTAAAAGGGTTCGTGCCATTGCGTCCTTGGAGCCGTGTTATGCCTAATTTACAGAATTTTCGGCCCTTTTTATCGTACTGATCGAAAAATCAAATTACGAAGTTTCCATCTGAAATTTCTAATATAGATAGATATAGTTACATCTAGAATATCCTGAAAGTGTTAGCAGAATAGAATGTTCCTATGTGGAGATATTGGATCTCCAAAAAATAGTCATTTGCGACAGATATTTCACAAAAGTCGAGTTTATTTGAAAATGAAATAACTCGACAAAGGAACATTCTATTCGGCTGAAACTTCTAGGATATTCTAGGTGTAACTATATCTATCTATGCTAGAAATTTCAGATGGAAACTTCGTAATTTGATTTTTCGATCAGTACCCTAAAAAGGGCCGAAAATTCAGTAAATTAGGCATAACTCGGCTCCCAAGGCGCAATGGCACGAACCCTTTTAGGCTTTCTCTAGTATTACCGAGATCTACTTTTGGGCACAATATAAGCTGAAACGGCAGGTATCACTTGGGAATGTTCCCTCGTGAGTTTGTAGATTTTGTTTTTATGAGACGATGAATTTTTCAAAAATTGACGCTTTTTGTAACTTAGTGAATAATACAAGATTACTTTCGGCAGTTCATTTCTCGAAAATTCGAAATCTAGAAATTCTAAAATCCTTCATACAAGCTATTGTATATAAGATCTTGGAATGAAGATATTGACAAGATAAACTCCAAAAATGCCAGTGTTTATGAAAAACTGGGATCCCAAAGAGGCCTTTAGCAAATAGATATGTTGAACATTCAATAGTACCAACAAGTCTCGATAAGAACTGCAATCCTTTTTACGATTTTCACTAGAATACTATGTAGTAAATCTAGAAAGAAAAGGAATCAGTAGGAATCGTCTGAAATGATTCTCTCATAAGACAAATAGTGTTAAAAAGTAAAAATATCACACTATTTTCTATTAAAATTTCTTATTTCAAAGGACAATTCGAAAAACAACGAAGTAGATAGTTGGAAAATATTTTATCTCATAAAGTCTCAACAGGTTTTGATTAATGCTTGTCAAATTAATGGAATCTCGAATTTTATTTAAATCAAACGATAAATTGTCAATAGTATACTCTCGATTCTCGTATTAAACAAGCAACTACATATGGAACTGATGGATAAGAAATTTTATACTAACGTCTTCTTAAGCCCAAAACAAGACCAATAATAACACCGCTGACAGCAAGAACAGAAACAGCAGTAAGAATAAAGATAAATGTTTGTCGCCTAAATGTAAATAGAAAAACAAATCAACAAAACATTTTATTGTAAATGACAAAAGAAATAAAAACACTATAATCTACCTTTGTTTTCGAAAGATAATTAATTTTTAAAAGAGTGATAAAAGCTATTAGGACAATCTCTGTGAGACTAAAAGATGAAACACAATAGAGCTGCTGCTACTAATCACAGAAAGATTGCTTTATTGTATGTAATTTTGGACGCAGTTTTTCACCATCCTTCTGGTTAATCCTTTAGAAATGCAGTAGAGAAGTAGTAATAAGTTGTTATTGATATAGGTTCTTTGATCGTTCATTAACAAGATCTGACACGATCTGTTGAGAAAGGAAGGAGTAAGGCCAAATTTGTACTTGTATACTTGAATACTTTTGGTAGATCGTGTTTCACAAAATAAATACTTTCAAAGAAACAGGTATTATTGAAATAGAGTTCTATAAATTCAACATTTAACACAAATTAGATAGTTAACATAAAGTTCAATGTCGTACAGAATTTGTAGCACAGTAAGCAGCATAATGAGTAAATGCAAATAAAAGAACAGATTTATATTGTGTTTTTTTTGAAATATACATAATTGATAAGCAAATTTCGATAAACTTTTAAAGATTATCTATGATCTATGTAATCTGATATTCATGGAAGTATTATTTAGTTCGTATTTTTTTTTCTTTTCTATACTCAAAGAATTGAGGCGAACAAATGGTATTAACAGTGGCATAGCCAGAATTTTGGCCTAGGAGAGGTTGAGGCTCATCTAAGAAAATGTTTGATACATGTATTTTATCCATTTGGGGTTGGGGAGGAGGGCTCAAAGACCAAGAAAGGAGGCTGAGCCCGTCCTGACGAATAAAAGACACGTATCAACAATATCGCTAGGGAGGGAACTGTGCCCTCTAGCTCTCCTGGTTACGCCACTGGGTATTAGTCTTTTTGTTTTCAAAACACGTTTATATGCACATTTTTTTGTCGAGGTAATAGATGTCTACGTTTTATCCTGTCAGACATTAGAAATGATTAATCAATACTCAATATAAGAAGTACATAGAGTGCCAGCTATCAGTAGATGTGATTGTAGTTTTACGGTACATGCAAAAAACCAAATAACCTGGTTATAATCTCCAAAACATATTGAGAGACAACAAAACAACAATAAGCAAAGATAAAGATCAAATGAAGGTTTTTGTTATTTTGCTTATCTTCCTATATGATTTTTCTTGATTTCATTTAGTTTTACAATTTTTGAAAAGTCATTCAGTGTAACAAAATGTTTAAAAAAAGAAAGAAGACTTAGCATGCAAATTGCACAGACATTTTTTTTAAATGTCAATAATATGATTTTCTTTTCATTCTGTCGAGAAAAAACATTCATTAATAGGCTTTCTATAACTTCCTATACTATACAATCAAACTACGTTTGTTTATACAGACACATATTCTTTGAACTGGAAAATATTAGGTAACAAGCAGAAATGAATAAATATCCTCAATGATTTCAAACATTGTGAACCATATTTCTTTCTTCTTATTTTATTGTTGCATTCCATATTTGCGTACCTGTTAGAGAAGAGACCTTTTGCATGCACCATGTTTCTAAGTTGTTCTTAAAATGATGATAATAATAATAATGAAGTAAAATCAAAACTTGATTCGTTCTTTATCAGTCAGTTGTATACTTCATGCATCTAAATAATAATAATAATAATAATAATAATAATAATAATAATAATATAAAACGTATATTCGTCGTTGCTTCTACTGTATTGAAATGCTACTTTAAAATAAAATAAAGGTAAAGATAATGGCAAATATATCGACATTAAATGTGTATCAGCTTTTCTTTTTTTGTCTCTGTGCATACATAGACAAATGACATTTTGATGTTGCGATAATAGAAGTTTTTAGATTAGTGTTGTTTTGTCTTTTAATCTAGAAAGAGTGTGAAAGCTGAATTTTACAGACTTGTTCAAGAATAGGAACAAGAGAATGTTTTATTGATCAAACTCAAAAGTCAACAACATTGTTTATTTTTGATAATAATATCTTGAAACTTTTTTATGATCATACTTAGTACCAAAATTAGCTAATCATATCATTCGTCGACATTTTTTCGTCGAAATAATTTTGTCGACAGAGATTTCGTCAACGTACACTCGTGAAGAAGTACTAATGTTAAGAAGAACCAGTCTACTATTTTTATTGAACCAAGCAGACACAATATAAAGTAAGAAGGATGTGAGTGTTGGTACAGGTGTGAGTATGCATGTAGGTTTAGGTGTGAACATGAATGTAGAATAGAGGTACGACAGTTCTGAGAAAGCTCTAAACTGATGATCTGTTACGAAAAACGAGCTGATCTAAACTGTTCTAACGACTCAGCTCGCATCAAGAGCTGTTTAGAGGAAATTCCGTAGTGAAACGGAGGTGTTCGGAGCCCTTTGTTGTTCTTTCTTGAGACCAAAATACTGGTAGCTCCACAAGCTATGCTAGAAGCATTAGCTGAAATGCTAGGGATCATCTGCGATGCTATAGACCACCTGGAACGTTATAGCCATAATCTGAGACTCCAACAGCGTCAGCGGGGTTACCAGCAGCATAGCTGCGGATCATTTATTATTAAAGATATTGTCTATTTTATCCTAGCTAATCCCATGGGATCTCAGGTGATCCCTAGCATCCTAGATAATTCTTCTAGGGTTCCAGGTAGATCTCTAGAACTCCATGAGGTGCTTTGCACCAACATTCATGCGAGGAAAACTTTTGGTTTTATGAGGGAAGGTAAAATTGTTTCCTAAGTTGTTAGCTTGTAAGGATAAAGTATTTCGTAAGGGAGAGAAGAAATACAGGATCGACTAGAAAAGTTGTCGACGAAACATGTCGACAAAAAACTTTTCAACGAAAAGGCGTCGACGAAATGAATTCGACAAAGTATACTGTCGATGAAATGGCTTTCAACAAAGTGCCTGCCGACGAAGTGGTTGTCGACAAAATGTCTGTTGACGAATGGTATGCAATTCCAAAAATTACTAGCAAAGACAAACTTATATCATCATCAAAATAATCTGTATAAAACAACAATAAGTACTATTCGACATTATTTTCTTCTTGAATATAGATTATTATCTGATTAACTGTTATTTCTAAACTATTCAGTTTAATGTCAAACTGTTTATTATTTTTATTTAAGAAAATAAAACATTAGACCGTATAACATATAGAATAATATAAAACATTTCAACAAAGATTGTCAGTCTTATTTATCATGACAATAAAAACATGCAGCAAAGAAATATGTAAAGATTTTCTTTTATGACTATCAGTTATATTATTTAAAATACTTAAGTAGGTTTTTGTGAGTGAAATTATTATTGGGTTATTTATTACTTCATCCCGTAACATGTGATTGTATCGCGATTAACTTAAGCATAGAAATAGTTAACTCTTTGCCGTTTTCAATATTTGAAAGAGTACTAATAAAGTTATCAAATCATGTAGAAATCAAACAGTCAAATAGTCATCAATTTTCAGTGACTATTTTCGAAACAATTATGATAAAAATTTTTCAATTACATGTCGATTTTTAAGATTGTCATTTGATAGAGAAAATCAAGGTGAATTTTCCAGATGATTCCAATGTGAACTATTATATGTACTCTTCTGAGACTTTTGAAATCGACTAACTGATCACTAATCAGTTTCAAATGAGCTGATATAATAGAAGGTTTTGATCATGTTGGAACGAGTGATAATATTTGCTTTAGTTTCTATAGCAAGATAAATTAATCAAATCCATATTATGAAAATATATTGTTCCAGCATAATACTTAGTTAAAACTAAGGCTTTTGAGGTTTTGGTCTAGTTTACTCATGTTGCTCTAAAAAACAAACACTAACACTCGTTCTAACAAGGTCAAAATCTTCTACTGTATCGGCTCACTTCAGAATGAGTAGTAGTCAATCAGTTGATTTCAAAGGTCTTAGAAGAATACACATAACCTGCTGCAATGGAACTATCTAGAGAGGTTGACATTGATTTTCTCTATCAAATGAATATTTTGAAAGTCAACATGTGACGAGGAAGCTTTTATGAGCAGTTTTCTGGAAAATCATCATTTAAAAGTGACCATGACTTAGTTATAATTGATTTTTATATGATTTGATAAAGTTATCTGTTCTCTTTCAAATATTGAAAACGACAGAATACTAGCTAGTTCTATGCCTGAGTTAAT